TTGTTGAACTCGAGCAGCTGCTCATACCGTCGCGCGCATCGGCCAGCACGCGATAACGCCGATCAGCATGGTTACTATGCCTTAGTACCGCCCTCCTTTGCCAGAGCCCCAAGGTTTAATACAATGTGGAAAAATACGTCGTAGCCTCACCTCACAGGGGAGCATACTGCCTACTTGGAAGAGCATCGCGTCCGAAATGGACTCCGACGTCGCATCTATCTCCCTCAAGCCCCCAGACGAATATGCGCCTGAAGTGCTGCTTTGTCTCCATGGTTCGCTGCCTTCCCCCTTTGGCACGGCCCTGAAGCCCCACTGATGGAAGGCTAGATCCAGCAGAGGCACTGCGATCGAAATCCCAAGGCTTTCGAAACTTCGTGAACCCTACTGGGGGGCTGGCGCCAACGACCTGCACGCCACGTGGGCCACGGTGTCGAGGCCATCCGTCTTCAGCCGGGCTCCTTCATCCTGCCCCTCCTCCTCCTCCTCCTCCTCCTCCTCCTCCTCCTCCTCCTCCTCCTGCCCTTACTCCTCCTCCTCCTCCTCCTCCTCCTCCTCCTCCTCCTTCTCCTCCTCCCCCTCCCCGTCCTCCTCCTCCTCCTCCTCCGCCTCCTCCTCTTCCTCCTCGTACTCACGCGGTCTCGTTGAGTCCTGCCTCGCCTGGTTTGGGCTGGCGCAACGTGGCCTTCGACGGCTGCGACCAAGAAGTCTCTGCACGATGCCAGAAAAGGCTGCGTGCGAAACGGTGCGAAGCATGTCCTCCTGCTCCACCTCCTTCTCCTTCTCCTCCTACTCCTCCTCCTCCTCCTTCTCCTCCTCCTCCCCCTCCTCCTACTCCTCCATCTGCTCAGCCTAATTATCCCCTGCCTCCTCATCATGTTTATCATCATTATCCTCTGTGTCCTCCTGGTTGTCATTTTCCTCCTCACCATACTGAAGCTGGAAGGCAGATGCACAACCAATGCGAGGAAAAGTCCCCGCACCGCAAAAACTCGGATGGGCTCCCGTGTACCCAAAACAACGGGGGCGCGTGTACCGGGAAAGCGCACGCAAAGCACGCATGAAACCGCGAACCGACTGGGCACTGAGGCTATATTTCATGAAAACTCCGCGCGGGACCAGCCATTACGATGCCAATCGAACCGCATACCGTCTGTTATCCGCACATGCCGAAGTGGGCAACAGGAGACTGCATATACTCAAGGCAGGCCTGCGTTGGACCGAATCGCGAAATCGGATAAGATTGGAAACGGATCGGGTCGCCAGCGAATCGTCCCGACTCGAGGACCGAACCGAATCGACTCGAATGGGAATCGCGGCTCAAGCCAGCGAGTCGAATCGCATCGAACCCCATCGCAGGCGGCCCTGCCAGGTGGGAGTGCGCTGCGCGCTGGGTAAAGGGGCTAAGCCCCCCACACACACACACACACACACACACACACACACACACACACACACACACACACACACACACAGGCCAAATGCGCGTGAATGCAACCCCTCCCGAGAGCGTCCCGCACACTGCATAGGCTGCGGCCGAGGTGCCGACGGCCGCCTCGTGACCGTCGTGTTGCAGCGTCGCAGAGGCCGTGGCGAGACCTTCTCGGAAGACGGGTCTTCCTGAGCACAAGCGGTACTACAGTCGGCCCGTATCATAAGAACGCGCGATAAGGATGCAAGGGCCTTGGACGCCCATTTCGAAGCTTTCCGAGCGGGGCGCGACCGACGAGAGTGGCGAAGGATGGACCGAGGAGGCAAGGATGCGAGGGGGATCCTTGGGAAGATTGCCCATCCTTACCATGCGGATCGACTGTAAGCAGTACTAGCAGCAGTTCTCATGCTGGGACCATCAAAGAAAATGAAAAAGCCAGAAGAAGGCAGGTACAGTAGAGATTGCAACGTGGAGAAGCAAATCCGCCGACCCTTCGGCGCGTGTGAGACGCTGTCGTCGTCGTCGTCGTCGCCGTCGTCGTCGTCGTTGTCGTCGTCATCGTCGTCGGACCCTACGAAGTTTGAGGAACAAGGAAAAAGGATCGTCAAACTTAAGCCGATTCCCTTCGTTTTATCCCTTCCCGCACGGGGGGGGGAGGGGGGGTTCCCGGGTCAGAATACCGCCCACCCCCTCGGAGTCCCAGCGGATGCAGGGGGGGGTCGCCAGCGGGGGTCCCGGGGGAGCTCCCGCCTTCAGGGTCAGCAGCACCAGCCGCAAGGCCTTCACAATAACGAGGATGGATGGAGAGCGCGACAGAAGGATACGCACTCGTCGTTTCCCACCTCGTCTGTATCACGATCGCAGTTGCCGCAATAGTAGTGTAATCGCACTCGCAGCGACCCAGTGGCCAAACGGGCAAACACCTGAGGTGGCTTGATTACCCGAAGTGCAGTCTACGGGGTTCCACGCAGCTCCCTCCGAAAGCATCTCGCTAAGTACACCTAGCCTAACCTGTCATACATGCCTCGCAATAGTTTGGCGGGCATCATCAGATTCAGCATCATCATAATCAGCATCATCATCAGCAGCATCATCATCAGCATCACCATCATCACCATCATCATCTTTAATCATCATCATCATCATCATCATCATCATCATCATCATCATCATCATCATCATCATCATAATCATCATCGTCGTCGTCACCATCATCATCGTCATCGTCGTCGTCGCCGTCGTCATCACCATCGTCATCCACAACACCACTGTCACCAAAAGCATCATCATCCTCATCATCGTAAGCGTCATCATCAGCATCAGCATCTTCATCATCATCAGCGTCATCATCGTCATCAGCCTTATCATCGTCACCGACATCCGCATCACCATCATCATCATCATCATCAGCAGCATCATCGTCATCGAGATCATCAGCATCACCACCAACATCATCATCACCATCGATATCAGCAACATAAACAGCACCATCATGGTGGAATCACCATCATCCACACCATCAGCATCATCGTCATCATCGTCACCATCATCATAATGATCGGCATCATCAGAAGCCGCATCATCCTCATCGTCATCGTCATCGACATTATCATTGCCATCATCATCATCATCATCATCATCATCATCATCATCATCATCATCACTAGCATCATCATCATCGTTGTCGTCGTGGTCGACGTTATCATCCGCAAAATCAAAAACACCATCACCACAATCATCAGCATCATCAGCATCAGCATCAGCATCATCATCATGACAAGGGTCGACGTCGACGTCACTGTCAGCATCATAATCACCATCACCATCATCAACATCATCGCCATCACCAACATCAACAAGAACGTCATCATCGGTAGCATCATCGTCATAATCATCGTCGTCATCACCGTCATCATCACCATCAGCATCATCAACACCACCATCATCGGTAGCATCACCGATACCAACAGCACTAGCAGAAAAAAAAACTCAGCATCATCATCATCATCATCAGCAGCATCGTCACCCCCATTTCAATGACATCAGCACCATCACATCATCACCGCCATCATCATAAGTATCATCGTCAGCATCAGCAGCATCAGAAGAATCATCATGATCATCACCATCATCACCATCATAGTCGTAGTCCTCGTCATCATCATCAGCATCATCAGCATCAGCATCGTCATCATCAGCATGATCGTCATCAGCATCAGCAGCAGCATTATCATCATCACCACCACCATCATCATCATCATCATCATCATCATCATCATCATCATCGTCATCATCATCATCATCATCATCATCACCATCATCGTCATCATCGTCATCCCTTCCATCCTCATCATCAGCATCATCAGCATCACCAGAAGCCTCATCAGCAGCAGCAAACGCATCATCATCGCCAACATCGTCAAGACCAGCAACCCCAACACCATCAGTAGCGTCATCATCATCAACATCATCATCAGCATTACCATCATCGTCATAATCAGCATCATCAGCATCAGCGTCAGCATCATCATCATCATCATCATCATCATCATCATCATCCTTAGCAGCATCATCATCATCATCATCATCCACATCATCAGTATCATCAGCAACATCGTCATCATCATCAGCATCATCATCATCGTCATCGCCATCATCACCACCACCACCACCACCATCATCATCAACATCATCATCAAACGCAGTATCGACATCACCATCAGCATCATTCTCAGTATCATCGTCATCATCCACATCATAACCATCACTATCATCCTCAGCATCATCATTTTCATCCTAATCATAATCAGCAGCAGCAGCGTCAGCATAAGCATCGCCACCACCATCAGCATCATCAGCAGCAGCATCAGCAGCAGCGGCATCATCATCATAAGCAGCATGTTCATCGTCAGCATCAGCATCATCGTCAGCAGCATCATCATCGTCGGCATTGTCATCATCATCAGCAGCAGCATCATCATCGTCAACATCACCATAGTCATCGTCATCGTCACCCGCAGCAACATCGTAATCATCAACATCACCACCACCACCACCATCAGCATCATCATCATCATCGTCATCATTACCAGCAGACGCATGCTAATCAGCAGACGCAGAATCAGCGTCGTCATCATCCTCATGACTATCATCATCATCATCATCATCATCATCATCATCATCATCATCATCATCATCATCATCATCATCATCATAACCATCATCATCAGCATCATCATCGGCAGCAGCAGTATCATCATCCTCCTAATCACCATCATCATCATCATCAACATCATCATCAGCACGTCAGCACCATCATCGCCATCATCATCAACATCCTCATCATCCTCATCCTCATCCTCGTCAGCATCATCATCATCGTCATCATCATCACCATCATCAGCATCATCATCCTGCCCCCAGTTTCGTCTCCTCTGCTCGCTCTGCTTCTCCCGCTCCCTCTGGCGCTTCGTCCCGGGCCCCCCCCCCAGACCTCCAAGCGCACCCCCACCCACGAGAGACGCGGGGCGCGAGCGCCGCCCCGTCCAGCGCTGCGGGGGGGTGGGGGGGCAGGTGCGCTGGCTGGCTCCTGCTGCGAGCCGAGGGCCTCGCCGAGCGCAGCGCAGCTCACCTGATCGCGCACGTGGGGGGGGGGCCCGAAGGCTCCGAGCTGCATCGTCGGCACCGAGGGCGAGGGGCGAAGGGGAGCGAGAGGAGGGACGGAAGGTGGCGGAGTAAACAGGGAGGAGGAGGAGGAGGAGGAGGAGGAGGAGGAGGAGGAGGAGGAGGAGGAGGAGGAGGAGAGGAGGAGGAGGAGGAGGAGGAGGAGGAGGAGGAGGAGGAGGAGGAGGAGGAGAATGGGCGGGCCAGACCCCTGACGCCATGATTTTGTCACGGACGTCGGCCCCCAGAGGCATCGACCCGTTCACCAGGATCGTCGTGAACCGTTTTCTTACGGTGCCAGGGCCAGGCGAGGGCAACCCAACGGCCGAAGACTACAACAATAAATCCCGGTCACAGTTTTTCACGACGCGGGGGGTCTGGGGAGGATGGACGGAAGACGGCGGCAGCGCACAGCGGGAGGGAGAGGACGCGTGGATGGGCCCGAGATCCGTAGGACGAAGACGGTAGAGGAATCCTCCGTGAAGGCAAAGGGAATCCCAGTGTCAACACCAGAGTCAATATGGCAGCGGATGGGGGGAGCAGGGAGGCGAGAGAGAGGGTACACACAGGGGAGAGGACGCGTTGAGGGGGGGCCCTTCCTGAGGTCCCCCTCCTGAAGCGCAGGGCTCGGCGTCAAACTCTCGCGCGCCTCATCGAGGGACGCGTGCTGGCCGACTGCGCTGGTCACTAAGGCTGTCTTCGTGGCGCTCGCACGCCCAGGCGCACGTGTGCTGCACACCTCTCCTGCTCACAGATATCCAACGATGCGATTTCGGCCTCTGGTGCCCAATGTTGTGTTTGGGGGTCATCAAAACTGGATCGGGACGAAAAAACACTCAAGGGGTGCGGGACCTCTGGGACCACGCAGCGAAGAAAAGGTTATCGTCGGAGATCCGGTTTCCCTCCCAACCGCTCTTCTTGTTGTTCCAACCATCCTGTGGAGTTGGGTCGTCGCTTTGAAGAGACAGCGTCCCGCGTTCATTCCTTCCTCCTCCTCCTCCCCCTCCCTCCCTCCTCCCATCCCTGCATCGTCTCTATTTCGGCACACCCCTCACACGTTTCGTGGCCCCGTGAGGACCTCCGCCGAAGGTCCCAGTGGTACAGTTCGCATGTGGGCGTCACGCCCGTTTCGGCACACCCCTCATACGCTTCGCGGCCCCATAGGGAGCTCCACCGAAAATCCCAGTGGTGCAGTTCGCATGTGGGCGTCGCGCCCGTTTCGGCACACCTCTCACGCGCTTCGTGACCCCATAGGGAGCTCCACCGAAAATCCCAGTGGTGCAGTTCATATGTGTGCGTCGCGCCCGTTTCGGCACACCCCTCACGCGCTTCGTGACCCCATAGGGAGCTCCACCGAAGGTCCCAGTGGTGCAGTTCGCATGTAGGCGACACGCCTGTTTCGGCACACCCCTCACACGTCTCGTGGCCCCGAGCTCCACCGAAAGTCCCTGTGGCGCAGATCGCATGTGGGCGTCACGGCCGTTTCGACACACCCCTCACACGCTTCGTGGCCCTATAGGGAGCCCCACCGAAGGTGCCAGTGGGAGGGTTCACACGCACCCGCCCACCTCCCAAGATCGGCACGCCCCTCACACGTTGTGTGGCGCCATAGAGAGTTCCACCGACGACGATCCTCACAACTGCGGCACTCACAACTGCATCTGGTTGGGTCCGTCGCCAGGCGAATGTTTCTGTCTGTATATATATATGTATATAAATATATATGCAAGGCGCCACTGATCGTGTTGCTATCACCACACACGCTTAATGATGCCTTCTACGTTTCCGTGTCCTGCCTTCCACTAGTGCTCTCGCCGTGCTAACCGCTGTGTCCAGAGCTGCGACTTCGGCATGAAAAGCAGAGAATGTGGGTTGCAGCCGTTGTCCTATGACCCAAGCGGCCTCGTCTCTACAACGTCGTTCACATGGACCACAAGCATCAGCACGTCGGCTATGGCCCCACGACCGTCGCTGAAGCCCCCGTCCGAGAAAATCTGCAAGCCGAGGGATGACGGCATCGCCTCCATCGCCGTATCCTCGCACACGGTGTGATAGTCCACGTTGTGCGTTAGTACGCAATTGGCGACATGGTCCGCTGCGGCGTTGAATTCCCGATGCCTCCGATCCAACGGGTCCATAAACAAGCCTTCGCATTCGAAATGGTGGTTGAAGAAGTAGCGCAAGTTCGTGCGGATGCGGTCCAAAGGCTCCCGGTAGTACTCGTTCGTGACGCCGGCGACGCCGTTCCCTATCTCCGCCAAAACCTTGTTGCCGACAACAAACTCCAATTGAGGCTTGGGCGATGTCGCACACCAGAGGCTGTCCCTGGGCAAGGCGAGGGGCGACGGCATGGACTGAAGGCTCCAATCTGTCGTTTTGCTCCTCTTGGTAGGCGGCGCAGCGGGCAATTCCTGCGACACGGCATCGCGAACGCCTGGGCGCCCCAAGGCAGCGCATGCCTCACTGACAAACTGGCCCCTGCCCTTCATCCATTCCTCCCTGCACTGGGCGGCGTCCAAACGTTTGCGCCATTGCCCGCCCCAAGTCTCGAAAATGATTGCGTCCGCAACAGTTTGCTGCCCTGTGTGCCTGCGAATGCCGCGGGCGGCGCGGCGCGCCGTTGAAACGTCTTTGAGCAAACTCCACCACTCCCAGCCACGATCAACACGAATATACGAGGCAAGACGGCCCACCGTCTCTTCTTTCCAAGAATACGTGTACACGCGCTCCAACATGACAACGTGCACGGGGTCAATGTTTGAATATATGAACCACCAGTCCAACTGACGCGCCGTCCGTCGATGGAACTCCATGCGGCCTTCCCCGGGCCGCCGCCTGAACTTGAAGGAGCGTCTCAAAACGTCGCGTTCCCAACGGAGTGCGTCTCGCAGCGCGGCCGCAGTTCAATGCACCACAGAAGCAAGAAACAGCGCGCATGCGCGCGGCTTATTGGCGTAGGCCTGCAACTTCAGACTCACTGGCGCCTTACCCCGAATCGGTTTCTGGCATTTGAAATAACATTGGTCTGCCTCGCCGACTCTATGTGCGATCATCTTTGCCGTCGGGCTCTCCTGGCTCAGCAATCCTCCAAGAGCTTCCATGCGATCCACATGTTTGTGTTGAAGGTGGTTGCCGTCCACATTGATTTGAAGGTCGCACGGCTTCAAAGTGACACCCACTGCCAAGACCTCAAGCGACGATGGCTTCCCAACTCCACGCATATTTGTTTTCGAACACTTCTGTCGTACTTGCTGTCATGAAATGCCACTCCTGGACGTTTGACACTAATATAAGCGTATTGTCGACCCAATTAACATTTGCAATGGCCCGGCCTGTCTGGCGAAGCAAAAACCATAGCCTAAGGTGTCCCACTCCCTAGCCGACGGCTCCAAGGCAGCATCGAACATCTGGACAAAGACCGAAGGCTCCTACTTGCCTCCCGTCCTCATGCCTTTGCCCATAGGCACGCCGCATGTTGTCGCGGTGCCGGGTACATTGAGCGAGACTTTCAACTCGTGGTAGTCCCTGGCGAGCGCCAGCACTTGATGAGCACTCGCGCCTGCTTCCCAAAGTTGCCCAAACATGTCAACGTGCTCAACAGAGTCGAAAGCCGTGCGTATATCTTGCGAGCCTAATACCAACGAGGAGTCGGCCCGTGTACTAGAATAACACAAAACTTCGTAAAGAACTGAAAAGCAGTCATTCACTGAAACTCTAAGTTTATATCCAAAGGTACGCGAATTGCTCGGAGTCCCGATGCACCTGGATACAGCTGTGTGGACTGTGGCACCGTACCACTTGCAGATGTGATCGATAATTCCAAGCCACCGAAAAACCCTGGAAGACTCTTGAACTGTCACCTTGGGTATTCCAAGAAGTTCAAACATTTGCCAACTATCCACGACATGCGTCTGCCAGAAAATATCCGTGAACATCTCTTGGAATAAATCGTACAATCGTGTCTTCATCTAATGGGGCACCTGTCTCCACGCTGCGCCCTCCAGAAAATCTGCTCCGGATGCCGTTTTTTACCCGCAAGCGCGAAAGCTGGTCTAGAAAGTCTGTGAAAGATGGTGGATGGACAGGGTGCCCGTCTAGCGAACATGCCTGCGCTGTGGATCGCAACATGGTTAACAAAGAATCCCACGCTGCTTCGTGTCCAGAGTCCGTCGTAAACTTCTCCTCGGCAAGTCTCGCTAATGCTTCTGCCCATTGCGTGCGGTCCGCAGTGGATCCCCCATCACAGGTTAGATGAGTAGGCGGAGCCACATTGTTGCTTCCAGAACTCTTCGCAAGGCCTTGCAAAGCCTCGCGTGCTTGTGCTCATTTTCCTTTTCCGGGCGCCCTGATACCGCCGCAGCATCCTCATCGAATACGGTTGTATCGAAAGATTGCCCATGGCTCTGAAGCGCTTCCTGAACAACACCAACACATCTCTGAAGATCAGCGGTATTGCAATCTCCCCAACTCTGGGAAATAAGGTGCCGGAAACGTGCCTTATCAACCAAAGTTTGAAAATCCCAGCCCTGCATCAACTTCCGGGCGACCTTCCGCATCGGCGTGGCCCTGGCGGCAGCTGCATGCATGGGCGCGATAAACTCCCCCACAACTGGACAATGATCTGATTTGCGCAGCTCTGTTCCTGATGCCCCATCGATGTCACAGTCTGGTTTTGCATGAAATTCGTCTGGCAATGAAGAGGAGACAAAATCTATCTGAGATTTCGTACGCGACGCCCGTTCTCGCCCTACTTTGGCATATACATACTTCTCCAAATCCATGCCGCCAAAGGTGTTGTGCACACGCAGCTGCAGAGAAGTGAGAAACTGTAGAAGTGCGCGCTGCATACCCCGCCGGTGCGAACGCAGCGGTCGCGCCACAATGCGCCCAGCAGTGTGTTCTACGTCCAGCTGCAAAGAAACATCGGCGTCAAGTCCAACAAATAGTGTGGGCGACCTCCCTGCCTGC